TACCCAGGGTTGCGGGTTGGGTAAGGAGCAGGAGGATAACTAGGCAGTAAGTAAAAGCACTAGGAAAGGGCGCCGGGCGGAATGTGAAGTGAGAGAAAGGTCTATTACAATATAATGCGCAATACCAGCTGCCGGTGTGATCTCCGAGCTGACCATTACGTTCCGAAGTTTAAAGGGTTGCTTTCTCTCCCCGCCACGCACACACGCGTACACTGAATTACATACGTACATACATACACACCTGCAGCACCTCGAAGCGTGGCCAGTAGGGGCCTTCCTGCTCCTCCTGTCTGCCGCCCGCCGCTGTGCTGCTGCCGCCACCTTCGCCACCTCCACCCGCACCTGGCGCCACCTCCCCACCCTCAAAACCCAACTCCTCCATCTCCACCTCCACCTCCATCTCCACCTCCTGATGCTGCCGCCGCCGCTGCTGGTGGTGCTGGTGGTGCTGCTGCTGATCCTGCTGGGAACGGGCGCCGCTACCGGCCCCCTCCATCATCCGCCTCCCGGCCCCAGCCTGCGGCTCCCGCCGCTGCTGCTGCTGTGGTGGTGGATGTGGTCGCTGTTGCCCACCAGGGTGCCGGAGGCCGCTGGGGTGGTCGGAATCTGACATGGAGCGGGCCTCCGCCAACTCCGGCTGTGGCGGCTGCTGCTCGTGCTGTTGGGTCTCACGGCCATGGGGCCCCGCGGGCCCGGGAGAAGCCGCAGCCGGGCCCTGCGGCGGCGCGGACACGTAACGCCGCCGCACCAGCCTCGTCGCGAAAAAGTTATGAGTATCGTACGCCTCGTGGATCCGCCAGTACGGATCTGCTGCAGCCGCCTCGGCGGCTGCGGCCGTGGCCTTGGCGGCTGCGGCCTCCGAATCCCTGGCCTGTGCATCACTGCCTCCGCTAGCGGCGGCGGCGGCGGTGGCAGCGGCGGCAGCCGCCTCTGCCGCCGCTTTCTCGGTCTTAGCGCGCTGTGCCCGGTGCCTGTCATTTGGGCAGTGGCAATCACCCGGCAACGCCCGGAAAGCATTTCTCTTACAGTACAGCACACAAGGACCGGGCATGTCACTCCGCCCCGCACGACCAATCCTCCCCCGCTGTTGTATACGTCTTTTCCAGAAAGGACCGATCGGCGGATATCAGATCCCGTGATACCCAGGATACTACACCCGCCGCTAATCCCCCTAAATTCACCCCAGAGGTTCCCGACCAGTTGCCGCTCGTAACCTGTCCAGATCCTGGGCGTGTGTTCTAGTTCCTCCGCTCTGCCTTGTGCTGCATCGGTACATCACCTGTATCGGTATATCAGCTGCACAACACGACCCACCATACCACCCCACTAGTTTACCAGGGAGCGACGGGCCCCCTCCGCCGGCACTTGCAAAGGAATTGGCATCTGCAGTAACAGTTTTTCAACCGCAGCATCACCCCGCACACGGCCGCTGCCGCTGCTACTGCTGATGAGGTGTGGTGGGTCGCAGTACGGCAATACGGCAGTAGACCCCACACCTCCTTCGATCCGCACCTGTTCCCTAGGTAGGTCTTCAGGTCGGTGGTGGTGTACGTCACAGGATCCACCAGTACGGCAGATGCCAGCCAGGCGCCGGGATCAGAGAGACGGGACCAATCCAGGGAGTGCTGGTGTCTGATATGGGAGGAGGTCGTCGGGGCGGTAGGAGGGCAGGGAGAGAGGATGAGGGCAGGGAGAGAGGATGAGGGCAGGGAGGGAGGATGAGGGCAGGCCAAAAAAGGCAATGGGGCCCGGGGCAACCGAGCTGGCCGCGAACAACCAGAGAGTTCCTCCAGATGGCCGACAAGCAGGGGGAAGGTAGGGAAGGAACAGGCGGTCATGGCTGTGAGGTTACTAGCAACGGCATGAGGAAGCGGGGGTGGAAGGGAAGGAGGGGGAGGAAGGAGAGGAAGGAGAGGAAGGGGGGGACAGGGGAGGACGGTGTGGAGACACGGGACGGGACGATAGAGGTCAACAGAAATTGAGCCAAACGCAAATGCTTTACGGGAAACTTATGGCTGCTGAGTAATGGGCGCACTGGCGAAATTTCCTAACCCCCCCCCCTGTGGCTTGTAATTATCCTGGCTTGCCAAGCCATCGTGCTTCCCAAGCTGACACTCTCGCAACCTCCGATCCGCTATTCGGAGTTTCGAACCCCACCATGCCCTTCCTCGCAGAGCAAAGCCCCTTCCCTCACAAAGCTCCTCCCAGCAGCTTCACTCGTTCGTGGTTTGTTCGTCCTTCCCCTCCCCTCACCCGTCCCAGACACCCCGCCCGCCGACCCGCAGGTCCCAAGGCCGTGCATGCGCCCCGGGAAGAGGCAAACCCCAACCTCTCTTTTAAGCCACACCCACCCACTTCACCTGCCCCTTACAAAGCCCCTCATTCGGCCGTCAAGACACGGCTCGAGGAACCCAAGGGAGTCCTGATACGACCTGAAATCTGAAATATCCACCCACAAGAGGAACCCCAAATCAGGATACCTGCGTGACGTGCGTGAAAACCCAATCCTGTATCCTCGTCGCACTTACAGCAAAGGTGCGAACTTCCAGCCCAGCTTTCTGGCTTCCTCAATGCCCACCGGCCGGCGCGGCTTGGGACAGCGGCGGGGCATAAAGGCCGGGCTGGCAGCGTCCTTGGCCAGCGTGCAGCCGCCGACACCCTGCAGCCAGAGGGCCGTCAAGGGATGCCGCATTGGTTTCGCTCCCAGCAGCGAATGCGTGGACTTTCCGCTGCAGTCACTCACCAGGAAGTCCACAACGGCTACATAACCGAGAACATAACGCGCACGTACATACATACATACACACATACATAGATGGAAGCTCGCTCCATTCATTGGGACCTTCCCTTTCATCCCGGTGGTATGGGCATGTATCAGCACAAACATGCAGAAACACACACATAGCCATGTGGTCCCAACGACCGCACGGGCAGAGGGACGCACTTTGGCTGTGACGTTGGAGGCCCAGTCCAGGGAGGCATCGAAAGAGGGCCGCATCAGCAGACTGCCCTTGTCGACACCAGGAAGCGAAGTGGAGATAGTGGATCCCGCGAGGGCGGCGGCGCCGGCGGCGGCACCGCCACCCTGGCCGCCGCTGCCAGGTGGGCTGACGGCGGCGGCCAACACCAGCCCCATCCGGCGGCGCCGCCATCGCCGCTCTGGAGCCGGAGACGAAGCCTCCCTCTTTGCCGCTGAGCTGGTGCACAGCTGTACGGGGTTACGGCCACAGCTCCGAATTTGCATCAGCACTGAGATGATCGGGCCATGGGATACATGGCGATGGAGGATGGTTTTGGAGCCTGGGCTGTGGGGCTGGCAGCGGCTCTCCTCCCATAGCCCCATGAACCGCGGGGGTGGCGCCAGCAGCAACAGGGTCAGGAGCAGCAGCTGGGGTGCCGGAAACCGCCTCGGCAATGGGAAGAATTGGACAGCCATGGAGGCCCCGACGCGTCCATCCGGAGGCTGGGGGTTGCTGAAGCAGCCGCCGTGGCCGCAGCTGGGTCGAGGTTCCATATGATGGGCATCACATCTGCAGGATACCATGGCGTATCTGGCAATAGGAATGCGCTGCTGATAAGGTGTACGGCGCCCAGAGGTAAGGGTGTCCGTGCAAGAGGATGACGAACATGCTGCTGCGATGTTTAACCCGCAGTCCTGTAGGTACTGCTGCTGCTGCTGCTGCCGATGATGATGATAATGATGCCACTGCTCATGCGATGGAGATAGCAGCGGATCTGGTGGCCTCCTCTGCGTCGACCGCAGCTCCACAGGTCCGGGGTGGGGCATGCGTCACACCCTGAGCAGGAATGGCAAGACACCCCACAATAAGTTCCAAGCGACATGGAATACCCACATGACGCCTACGTTACTTGAGGACATTGGCTTCCGTAACCATGGAAAGGCATTCGTCGTCCGGCGGGGGTGCTTACCTTGATAACGCGCTTGCCTTAAACCACTCAGAGAATCAATTCCAAAGTAAGCGCCAATGATCCTTAACGGTTTCCATTCAATACTGTGGCCAGCATCCTTAGGTGAAGTTCGACATTGAGGTCATCAATCCTATGGCAAGTCCTATGCAAAAAATGCGATGGGGTAACAATTACACACTCCTGCCGTCATAAATCCACGTGTTGTCTCTTAAAAGTAACAGATGGACAGCTGGACCCTGAAGGCCGTGCACCTTCTATGTATTTGGTACCGTACCAAACGCGTCACATCTAATAGGCTCCATCCTAGCAGTGTATCTCATATGAAATTCCTCTTAGTATGCCGTGACGAACTTCGGCGATCTATTGCACTGCCGTTATATCGTACAACAGTTGTGGCTAACTCCCGGGAAGCGGACCAACGGCTGCGTTTCCGCTGCTCCGCTCATCCGCTTCTATAAACCCTTACAAAACCTGCCTCTTAAACATGCTAATTTAAATGTTTGCGTAACCAGCGCTTCCTTGTTGCAAATGAGCGGCATGTTACTGCGTACAACAGCGCATGCAACTTGCGTGTGCAGTCGTGGGCAAGTACTACTACTGGGCCCCAAGCACCAAGGTCGTGCCAGTAATAGATGGCTACAGTTTCTATTGCAGCGGCCACCTAGACGATGGGGTGAGGGTTGCGACCTTACGGAACCTGCGTTTTTGGCATCATATTTACGCCGTGGCACAGTCGTTCGTGTGAGTAGTCGGTACTCACATTGGTTTACGTTGCAACATTTTGATGAGGAACAAATTCAAAAGCTGCTGTCAATGGTATTCGCTTGCAAGTGCTTACTGATACAGTTTGTAGCCAGCTGCAGTATGCAACGGCCCTGTACGGCGCAAATACTTAACCTTGCCCCATAATGGTTGTCCGTTGTGGGGGAAAATGCCGGTAACCAGTACGGTAAGTACAACTTGTATTCCTTAATACCTTGCTTCATGCCTAACCTGCTTCTGAAGGACGTGAATGCAAATTGCGAAAAGGACTTCAGATGCTGCCACGATGGGCCAGGGTTGCAGCGAACAGTCATTGGTACTTTCAGTCTGCGCCTTACAAGTAGCAGCAAGTTTGATAGCTTATGCATTCCCGAATTCAAGGGTCTGACTGTACGGCTGCGGGCCCGGCGCGGACAACTCAAGTCCTAGAATTCTCAACAGTTACCGGGGGACCTTGTGTGTAGTACACAATAGTGACACTCCGCCACGCAGGCACGCAGGGATATAAGTTCGGTTTTAAGGAGCCCTACCCATGCGCGTGCATGTATAGGCGATTTACAGCAGTGCGTTGCACGCCAGCCTTTTACAATGTGGACAGGCTGGACGACCTCTTGGGTTCTCAAAGCGACCAAGTGCGCAACTAGCGCCGCCCCTCCCGAGTGTTGAACCATAAATGCATACGTCAAAAAAAAGTGAAATGTGAACCTTGCCTCGCCTTGCAACCATTCCGCATCCCCGTTAACCGGCACCAGGTTGCGTTATCCCTTGGCGAGGCCTCACTTGCACGTAATGGACTCCAGTCCGATACGTTGTCCCAAGTCCCATGCATGTCCCGTCTATACACATATACACGTATTGCCACTGCTGCTGGGCTGGCTAGAATCGAAAGAAATGTGTTGGGCTTTCACAGGTGCCTGGGATGTGGGTTTGACAGGGCTTTCGCGTCCGTTAGGAGACAACCCGCCTCGCCGTC